GCAGATGCCATCATTTAGGCCAGTGTTCAAACTTACAAGTGCATGCAGGTGCGCAACGACGTGGTGACGGTAGCCTCCTCAGCTTGCTATCATGCTTTGCTGGCCTGCAATAATTTTTGTGAAATGGCATATGCATGCTTACGTTGGGCAGTTTGCTGTTGTAGGCAAGGTCCAAAGAGTGCCTCGTCAGAACGTTGGAATACTGAAGAACTTGTACTCGGGGTAGGCCACACCATGTCACCGAGGTTCGAGGCATCCCCTACAGTAGAAGCCAGAAAGTTGGAATATCATTATCGTATTCCCTTTAAGATAAAAAAATTAGGTGATCCTACCATTAATCCATATTCCAACTTTCTGGAGTTCCCTTTAGAATCCTAAAGTTCAAACTTGGTCCCTACCAAAGCTGCATGCCCAAGGCCCCTCTTAGCCGGTTTATGGTATGGGGCTTAAGGAGAGTGGAAAGACTAGGCTTTTCAGGCTGTTTCGTCCTTCCCAAATTTCGCATCCCGTGCGATGCAGGTTTTCAGCTTCTCGAGTTCCGTAGGAGGGGCCTAAGAATTTTAGTTTAAGGGTTTAATCGCTTCCCCCCAAAACAAACACCCCCCCTTATATTCAAACCTCCGGCGGCAGGATTTTGAGGTTTCGTTCCCACAAGCGAAAGTGAATTAAAAGCATTACGGGGGATCTAGGATTTAATTGGTTGCAATAGAGCCACGACTACAGTAGTACTAAACAGAAAGGACCAGGACTTTGGGGTTTAGGGCTTGGGGCTTAAGGTTTAGGGCTTACAGGGCTTTAGGGTTTTAGGGTTTAGGGCTTTAGGTAGGGTAGTACTAAACCGACAGGATCGTGACTTTAGGGTTTAGGCTAGGAGTTTGGGGCTTGGGGCTTAAGGCTTTGATTTAATTCGGGCTTGAGGGTTTAGGGCCCATACTCGGATGCCCAAACCTCCCCCTCCGTATCAGGGGTTCAGGGTTTAGGGTCAGCGTTCTGGTCCAGGGTTTGTCGGTGGTGCTGGGAGGAGCACGCAGTCCAATTCTAGATTTCTTCTGCCGAGAAGTCGGACTCTCGTACAGTTCACACACCCACAGTGCGTTGGGGCACCCCCCACACCTGTAATGATGCATGACATACACACATACATACATGCAGCGCAAACGGACTCCGTCCCATGCTGAAGTTTAGAATGGAAAATGGTTCGTGAGCCAATGTTTGCTGAACCTGCCTGAGGGTGCCATCCTCTCCTCTCACAGCTCGCCATGAAAAAGGGACGGCACCCAGAAGAAGATCACGAAGACCAAGGCCGGCCAGGTCAAGTCAAAGTCAAGTCCGAGGAACTCAGAGACTCCAATATCCCGTAATTAAGGAATATATATTTAATTAAGGAATATATATATATATATATACTTATTTATTTATTTATATTTATATACACCTTAAATTACAATAGGATCCTTAATTGCGGGATATTGGAGCAGAAGCCCACCAAGAAATGGTTGGGCAAGGCTGCCACTCTCCTTGGGGCCCTTTGGGGCATGTGGTTGGCCCATTTTGCTCATGGGACCTGCTGGCTTTACTTTGCACCTCTCCCCAGTCACGCATTGTGCCTCACCGTAAGGGTCCATGTAACCAGATAGGATATACTCTGGCCTTAAGGTATTCCCCATATAGGTACATCGGGCTCCAAAGTGTATACTATTCGGATACATGGACCCTTAGGGTCAGGATCTCTGAGGCACTACATTTGCGTGCTGAAGACTTCAGCTTCCAGGCCTAGATTGTGTGCATCGGCCCTTGAAAGGCCAGGCTGGGTTCAGAAAGCCCATGATTCCAGACATCCAGAAAACACGCGCTTTTTCGGTGGTACGCTACACGATAAGTGATATGATACAACTAATATAGGAGCCTGAAGAATTGCCAATACGATTTTGAGGGTTCCTTGTTAGAACTATAGCATAGCGGGCCCCAAAACCCCGTTCTAATTGTTAAACCCACTATATTAATTAGCCAGGCCCATGTACTAGAACCTTTCTGCAATGGTAGTCACGGACATGCCTCAGGCACGAGTTGAAGATGTTCGTGTTGTTGTCCCAGTTAGTAGTGTAGTCAACCTTTAACCTTTTTTGAGTAGTACAGCCCCGATGTAATCCCTATATAACCAAAAAGGTTAACCTTTAGTTCCCCATGATACCCGACCAATAGGTTGTCCTTTCGGACATAAGAATGGCAAGACCCAAGCGACCTCAAAGCCTGCACCTAGTAGTTCAATCCAGGGTACAGGGTTTAGGAGCGAGACCCTAAACCCTAAGCCCCAAAGCCCTAAACCTAAACCCTAAGCCCTAAACCCTAAACCTAAACCCTAAACCTCAAGGCCCAGGCTCCTCGCACAATCTCTGTTGAAGACAGGTAGAGCCAAACAAGTATCCCAAAGGGTCCAAGTAATAGTAGAGTATATACTTTTGGGGCCCAAATACCTACTAAGTACTTACTATAATGGTACTTGGACCCTTTGGGTATAAAGTGTCGCTGTGTTTTGGTTACGACTGCCACGGCGCTACTTCCCCTTCACCCTGCCGCGCAATGCCTGCAGGAGAAAGCCTCCACCTAGAGCCTTGAAGCTGTGGGTCTAAAACCTCAGCCCTCAGCGGCAAACCCCTTACCGGCTATTACACACCACACCCTATACTGTAAGCGCCAAGCCCATAAAAACTATACCGCTATACCTTCAGAGCTTAACAACCCGCGACTTTGTGAGCATTCATCCTAAGAAGCCTTGGTAGAAGATCAAACCGACAAGATTGTAGGGACCCAGCGGCACAGGTAGGTCTAAGTAGGTTGTCTACGTAAGGCGAGGGAATGAAATTTGGATTCTATGGCCAGGTGTCAGTTCCCAATTTTACAGGAAGACAAAGAAATCGCACGCTTCCCTCAGTGTTCTATGTGATCCCATAGCTCTGCAACGGCCTACTATGGAGCACAAGTCAGATGGAATCGCAGCCGGACATTGTGATAAGTTCAACTATGTTCCTTAACTAGAGCCCCATATAAACAAACACCCCTATGACGCTCTTATACAATAATTATTACAGTAGTTCTATAACACCGGACCAGGACCTTCACCAGCGTTGTGTATCCTTATGACCCCTTTTTTTACCATTCGAAGAGAACTCGTCAAAGCGCCCAAGTACAACCTCACAACCCGCAGAAAGCCCTGCAAAGACGTCCCTAAACCCGAAACCTTCTACCCTAAGGCCCCGAAGTAGTTCCTTTTTGGGGTTCGTATATAGAATCCCATAAGGTCATCCCAAAAAGGAACTACCAAAAAGGAACTACTTTGGGGCCTATGGGAACACCCAAAGGGTCCTAGGGGCTCGTATGGGGAATACTTCCCCAAATCGTAATAATTCCTAATATAGAAACCCTACATTCTACCATACAGGTACTTTGGACCGTTTGGGACACCGAGGTGTTCAGTGCCGTCGTTCGCTTGGGCAGCGGCCTCTCTGATGAAGACCCGCTCCAACAGCTGCCCGGCATGGTTGGACCCAAAGACTCCAAGATCCCTGAATTAAGGAATATACCTTAAATCAAATTAGGGATCCTACTATATTTTAAGGTATATTCCTTAATTAAGGAATATACCTTAAAATATAGTAGGATCGCTAATATGAGTTTAGGTATATTCCTTAATTGAGGGATCTTGGAGTCTCTATTAAGGAATATACCTTAAAATATAGTAGGATCCCTAATATGATTTAAGGTATATTCCTTAATTAAGGGATCTTGGAGTCTTTGGGGAGAAGGTTTGGGGTTTACAGTAGAAGCCAAAAATTTGGAAACCCAATAGCCTCAATCCTGAAGAGTAATATATAGGGAATCCCTGCACTATCTGACCCTAATCCGGTTTGCAACTTTATGGGGTTTACTGTAGGGCTTTCAGGGTTTTTGCTTTTAGGGTTCATGGCTTGGATTTCATACTATGGGGCGTTGTAAGACTTCCTGTCTTGTCGGGGTGTAGAACCGTTCTTATAAGGGGCCTTATATGTCATCTTACAGGTGTCTAGCTCTTGTGGCCCTTACAGGCTTCTTCATGTACAGGGGTCTTTTGAGAGGATTTGGGGCGTAGGGTTGGGGGTTTAGGGTTTAGGGTTACGAGTCTAGGGCTTCGGGTTTAAAGTGCAGGTTTCCGGAGGGGTACGGTGTGGACTCGTCATTTCTCTGATGATCCATGTTCCTCTGTGGTATTCAGATTCACCCCATGGTGCCCATGCAGCCCTAAACCCTATAAGCCCTCTAAACCCTAAACCCTGGTCCCTGAACCCTAAACCCTAAACCCCAAACCTCTTTAAGGACTATAGGTGTGTGCAACATGGGTTCATGGACCATCGATCGCCCCTGGGCCCTAAACCTAAACACCCCTGAAACCCAAGCCCTAAAGCCTAATCTCCAAACCCTAAGTTAAGCCCGTTGCCCATGTTCCTGTCTTACGTGCCGAGTGTCCAATCTCAGTGGATTTCGGCATAAAAACCTGCGGTCATGAACCCTAAACCGTCGGTGGATTTACAGAGTTTAGGAGCTTTGGCGTTAAGGCATTAGGGTTTAGTAAGGGTTTGGGGTTTAGGGAGTTTGGGCAAGGTTTAGGATTCAGGGAACTAGGCATTCGGGGTTAGTACGGTTTTAGGGCTTAGGGAGTTTAGGAATTCGGGTTAGGGATGTTTTCTTTCAGACCTTTCCAGGAATTCGTGTTCCTGACAGTTACACCTTTGGTGTGGTAGTACTGTCGAAGAGATCACATGTGTTGACATTTTGGGTTTCGTGTTTCGGGGCCGGGTTAAACTGCCTTTTCAACAGTTCGCACTGAAGTCCATCCCTAAACCCTAAACCCTAACCACAGGTAAAGCCTGTCCCCAAGTTGAGCCCAACATCTTCTTGGGCTTCGCAAAGTTTAGGGAGACTTCTCTTGGCTTCCCTGAACCCAAAATGAAAAACCCGAAACTCGAGGTGATATCCTCAACCCCAATGCGGCTGACTCAGCCCAGGGTTCTCTGCACACGAAGTAGAGAGAAAAAACACCTTACAATAAATCATCTTCTTGCTTGTTATGCTTATTTTTCAGAGCCTTATTTTTTAAAAAAAAAAAAGCGCTGGTGCTCCTTCCGAGCTGTCGAGGTATGGCCACGCCAATCCCCAGTTCTTTGCTCTCCTGGTGGATGGCTATGAGAAGCATGAGGTCGGACTCGTGGGCCCAAAGAGCCCAATACCCCTTAATTGAGGAATATACCCCCTAAAGGTTCTTTAAAGGGATCTATAAGGGATTTATAAGGTTTAGGGTTTATAGGGGACTCCAATACCCCTTAATTGAGGAATATGGCTTATATTACATAGGGCTTCATATTATGATTTACGCAATATAGTCCTTAGTTAAGCGGTATTGGGCTCTCTGGGGGTTCTACAAGGGTTTCGGCTAGGTAATGTGTGCTTTCTTGTTAGAAGGGTCTCTAGCTTTGCTTTGAAAGCTTAAGAGCCCGTGCTCCTTTCAGGGTATGTAGGGTTTAGGGTTTAGGGTATGTGGGGTTTAGGGTCTCGTAAGAGCCGTTCAGGCTGCCTCTGATGAATGAGGTCGCTTTCAGGCTTCAGGGCAGGGGTCGCATTCGGGTGTAGGGTTTCGGTTTTAGGGTTTGGGGCTTGGGGTTTAGTAGGTTTCGGGTGTAGGACTGTCTAAAGTTAATGGTCGGCTGGTCGGCGATCATGTAGTGTCCTTGTCAGGCCAGCTGCTGAGAAACAGGCCGAAGCGTGTACGTAGAATGAAATCCTGTGTATATTGTACCATGCTTGCTTGTGTATATCCTTATGGTTACTAAAGAGATCTATGCATCAATATTTTGAAAGGCCCTCAGAACTACAACCCCTCAAAAGTGGGCAAGGGGACTAGTCCAGGATGCCCAGTAGTACCCTTATTCCCTTTTTGTAGTCCTAGGTTCCTTATAAAGTTACCCAATACCAAAAGGCAGCCCTTTATATTCTTAGGTTACTGGGCATCCTAGATAGTCTCTGGAGCTCCTTCGGTCAAGAAGCCAGCCCTAAGGTTCCATGTGCCCAAATGGTATATACTTTGGCCTTAAAGTATTCCTTATATAGGTACATTGGGCCCAAAGTATATGTATCTATCTATGTATATATATATATATATATATATTCCATTGAAGTACATGGACCCTTAGGGCTAGTGGCATGGGGGTTCACCAATGTCGGATGATCCGGATTTCGTCTGCATCGGTCGATGTGCTCGGCTTTGTGCATGCCCAACCCAGAGAGCCCAATACCTATTGATTAAGGAATATGGCTTACATTATATAGGGCTTCATATTATGATTTAAGCTATATTCCTTAATTCAGGCTAATTAAGGGGTATTGGGCTCTCTGGGTTGGGGTGCATCTTACCGGACGTGTGCAGAAAGAAGCATAGACTGAGGGAGGCTTCTTTACTTTGATGGAAGTTCAAGGATTGCCCACCCGCAAGTAAAGGAGAAACAACGTCGCTATGCAGGCCGACAGGGTTCCAAGGTTCAGACTCTGAGTTTATCAAACTTGTGTTTGTTCTGATCGTCGTTACCGCGTCGGGTTCTGTTGGCTACCACTGCCGCTACGACGGCGACGACGACTACTACTACTGCTCCGAGGACCTCGGCACGTCACCATGGGATTCTGCCAGGTTTGTCAGGGGCAGCCGTAAAGAAAAAGGCAGGCTACCCAATCGTTTCGCATTAACGTCATACATATGCCCTCAGCCTCAAGCGTTTCAAGTGTTTAGGATCTGGAGTCCCTTTACATCCTCGAACCTTGACCCTGTGCTGGAAGATCGCAACGCACTGCGGGATGATGCTCCGTTCCTGTGCTGGGAGCCAAGTGGGAGATCTTCGAAGCATTCCCAGACGACGTTCAGGGTTTAAGGCTTGGGGCAGAGGCCTCCACCCCTAAATTCTCGAGTGTTGCCACCTTGGATCTCGCCGAGGCTTGAGGACGCACTGCAACAGGGAAGTTGAAAGCGTAGAGCTGTGGAGGGTGGGCAGTTTAGGGATGTTCAGGGCTTTCAAACGCTATGGATACTGGATACCAACATACCGTCTGGTGCAGAAACCCTAAACCCCAAACCCCTAAACCCTAAACCCCTAAACCTGAAAAAGCCTTCAACTGTAAATGTTCACAGTCTCTAACGTAAGGACTTGAATGACTTGAACCTCAATCGCGGGGTTGGGTCTAACAGCCTTCGGGCTTATGTATGCTCAAGCGTGCACAGGTCCCGCCAGAACACCTAAGTGTCCAAAAGACCGACAGCTTAGGTACTTAGGCTGAGGAAAGCTATAAGGTCGACTAGCTTTTCAGTGTTTCCGTTAGTCTATGTTTTTCCTGTTCTACCTGTTATTGTTATTACAATTACTATTGCTACCGTTGTAGTTGTTGTTATTGTTATTATTGCTTATGTTGTTATTGCTCTTTTCGTGCCTCCGATGGGCTCTCCTCTCTGGGGGGGGGGCTCTTCCTGCGCCACAGGCGCGACAAGAGAAGCTGGTGAAAGCGTTCCTGTCCCAGATGCAGGCACGGTTTAGGGCTCCAGATGAAGGGGGGTTGGGTGCATTAAGGGGGGGGGGGTCAGAGTTACTGTTTAGGATTCTTGATGCCTCATCACCATCATCATAATCATCATAGTAATCTTCATATTCATCTGCATCTTCGTTTTCATTATCAGCAGCATCATCATCATCATCATGGGTATGTCGCGTATTGTCGGGATCCTGAGATCAGTTCTGCTTTCGACATCCGAAGGGAGCTGCCTTTCCGAGGGTTCTTCCTGCAAAGCCTTGAGAAAAGTCCCCAACCCCACACCCCCGGGGGGATCCAAAAAGTAGATCCCTTAATGGGGGTTCCTAGAAGGTACCCTTAGTAGTATAGGGCCCCAAACTAGGGGATCTACTTGAATCTCTTTCTAGATCCTCCCGGGGATCCCCAACGAGGCAGCTTCTACCCGGAATGGGGTGCCACCAATGAGCCCTAAAGCTTCAAAACCTCAGTCCCTGAAGCCCCAATCGGGGACCCTAAAAAACCAAAATTCGGGGGACCTTTAACCCTACACCCTCAACCCTATACTATATAAATCTCGGACCCTAAACTCTAAGCCCTCAACCCTGAACCCCTAAATCGGGCACCTTCTGAACAGGTCGTTTTGAAGTTGGTTCAGTTCACGCGTCATGAAGTCTTCGACATCTCGTGCGGCTCCAAGCCTTCCAGGGCTTACTTGGGGAGCCATGGTCATGCACGGATTATTACTATCACTATTGCTATTGCTTTTGTCGTTTTTGTACATGAATCGCTTCCCTCTAAGATTAAAGCTCCCCCTCATATAAAAAAGAACTCGCCGCCAGGAGTTCGCGGTATCGGGCCCACAGTTGAATCTTGATTAGAAGCAGTTGATGTTACAAATCCTGCATTACCCATAATAAGGAATATACCATAATTCCTATAATTTAGGGTCCTTAAGGTCATGCAGGATTTATATCATCAACCGAAGGATTGTATCTGTTGTAATAGAGCCACAGACTACAGCAGTACTCGTCAGACCGAAGAGGCCAGAGCTTCAGGGTTTAAGGGTTTACCTATAGTCTCCATTGTAGTTCCTTTTATTGGTTAACCAAAATCTCTACCATAGGATCCGAACCCTAAAGCTGGTTAACCAAAAAAAGGAACTACAAATGGAGACTTTACCCAGAGAGCCCAATACCCCTTAATTAAGGAGTATGGCTTAAATTATATAGGGCTTCATATTATGATTTAAGCTATATTCCTTAATTAAGGGGTATTGGGCCCCTCTGGGTAGGGCTCAGGGCTAAAGCTTTAGGGCTTGGGGATTCCGGGCTTAGGCTTTAGGGCTCAGGGCTTTAGGGCCTTAGGGCTTATAGGGCTTAGGGCTTTAGGGCTCAAGGTCCGGATGGACCGAAATCCCCACGAATATTAAAACAACATCCCGGAAATCTGTTTTTACATTAGGGGGAAGGGATTAGAACAATGAGTATATTGTAACACGTTAACCATTATCCATTATCGAATTTATGCCTGAAGGGCTTGCAGGTTTGGGGGTTTCAATTTGGGGGTTGAGTCTAGAGGAGTGTAGTGCAAGTAGTATGGGGTGGAACTCAGCCCTACATCCCGCATCTGGAACGCGGTTCAACACCCGAAATCGTAAACCCTAAACCCCAAAACAAACGCTTACAGGTAGTGTCATGTCCGCGTAAGCTCGCAAAGCCTAGACCCAAACTGATGCGCCCTAAACGGAATCCTTCGTAAGTCTTTGGACCTTAGGTATAAGCAGCCAGACAAACTTCAGATAGTGCGGTTTTGCCCTACAGCCTCAAGCCCACCGTGCAGGAACTCTTAAAGTCAGCCTTTTCGGAACCCTTAATGGAGTCCTCACGGGCGCCCGGAAAGGAATCCCTAACTCCAAACGGAACCTGCGAACCTGCAGCTCAGCACCCCAGGACAGATGCCTTCTCCTCTCTTCACGATTTCTTGCTGAACCACCAGGACAGACGTTTTTGGGGACCTAACGAATACCGGGTAAATCGGGATATAAAGTGCCGAAGTTGCAGCGAGTAGACTTGTTGCTGTAGGTCTATCTGGGACATGCTAGAGCCGCATGTGTAGTTTCGCTATGGTTGCCTGTGGCGTTGCTGTAGAGGCCCCTAGTATCGGGTCATAGGAGGTCATAATGTGGTCGCTCTTAGTGCCGCACTCGCAGAACTGTGAAGTTACACGGTACTCGAGTCTGACGACATAGTCTTTCAGACGGGTTCTGGCTCGAAGGCACATGCGAGGAGGCAAGATCATTGCGGCCTTAAACCCTTAAATGTAAGGCCCTAAGGGCCCTCACAACAGAGCCAGTTCGATCGAAGCAAGCTCATGCGCAAGAGGGACTAACAACCGGAAGCCAAAGCCCTTCAGACACAACTGCCATGTTTTGGGGAGGACACCTCGGCCGAGTTTCTGCAGGCACTGAGTTTTCCGGTAACCTGAGATTCGTGTTGATGGTTTGTTATGTGCGGTTTAGGTTTTCCTTCGTGTGTGTTTGTGCGTTTTTTGTAGAGGGGGAACGAGAGGTATGAGAGGTGGGCTGAGACGTTGTGGGTTTGCAGTGCAGGGTTGTCCAGTTTCGAATCAGTCGTTTAACTGAGCTTGCGCCCTGGGTACTGGTACTTCACTAGGATGCCCAGTAGTACCCTTATTCCCTTTTTGTAGTCCTAGGCTCCTTATAAAGTTACCCAATACCAAAAATGGGAGCCCTTCCTATTCCTAGGTTACTGGGCATCCTAGTTCAGATGTGTTTCTGCCTCACGAAGATGGGCCCGAAGGGAAATCCTTCCTACCCACAGAAAAGCAATGCAAGCTAATCAAAAGCCGAAGCAGAACCCTAAGGGTCCATCGGTTCTTTATGACAAAGAGGGGTCACGGTTGGCGGTTTAGGGTTTAAGCTGTTACAGGGGTCTTGTGCTGGGTTCGAAAGGATTCTAAAGGGCTGGTGTTTAAAAAAACACACTTTGACATAACCCTAAGGGTCCATCTACCCAAATGGTATATACTTTGGCCTTAAAGTATTCCCTATATAGGTACATTGGGCCCGAAGAATATACTATTTGGGTACATGGACCCTTAGGGGAAGAGGACAAAAGCCAACACAACCTTTCCTTGAAACCAATGTTGGAGGGTTTTCGGGGTTGGCAGTTTTGACATTCCGGTCCTGTGCTTAAGCTTTACATGTGACGCTTCTGGGGATGGGCGTGTCGTTGGCTGCACCTCTCATTGTGGCTTGCTTGTTTCCAAGGGTAAAAGGAAGGACCCTTAATAAGGACCCCTAGGTATATACCCTTTATATAGCTATCATATACCCATTATATAGCCCATTATAGGGTAGGGGTCCCCATTAAGGGTCCCTCCTTTTCGCCTTTGATTGTTGAACATAGAGCTTTCGGGCAGATGTAGCTCCAGGCCAACGTACCCCCCTGCCAAGGCCCCGAAGCCACAATCTCCGATTTGGAATCCCTGGCCCGCCAAATAAGAAGCATTGAAGCCTAAACAGCGTAGGCTAGGGGCTAGTAGACAGACACTCCAAACCCGCACCCTATACCGTAGTCCTTACCGCAAGGGTCCGAGTACCCAAAAATCATATACTCTCCAAAATCCTAAACTCCATAACTGCTAGCCTAAAACCGAGTACCTATTGGGTCCTTTGGACTCTTGGGGTTGGGCCAAAAGCATCCAAAAGCTTCAGCCTGAAGCCTATATAGCCTAAAGCCCAAAGCCTTGCACCCCTAATCCGCACCGCAAGCATTAACAATCGGTTTAGGGTTTAAGAGTTTAGGGGTTTAGGGTTTAGGGGTTTATCGCAGGCGAACTTCCGGGAGTTCTTTACCAGCTACAACAGCCTTCTACAGGAAGGCGACTATGTGACCAAGCGTCAGGCTGGAGACGTGCCAGGCTTTTCCCACCAAGTGACACTCCCTAAGGGTCCATGTACCCAAATAGTATGTACTTTGGCCTTAAAGTAGTCCCTATGTAGGTACTGTGGGGCCAAAGTATATACGGTTTGGGTACATGGACCCTTATACCCTAAGCCCTTATGGATCCCTTATAGATCCCTTTAAAGGAACCCTTTATGGTACCCTTAAAGGAACCCTATTTGGGTACATGGACCCTTAGAGACACTCTCAAACCCAAAGACCTTTTGCAACCCGAGCACTCAGGCCGCAAGGCCCAGAGCTTGTTCACATTCAAGGTTAAGGATTGATCTGGGGCTTACGGTTGATGATAGAAATCCTGCATTACCCAGAATAAGGGATATACCATATTTCCCATAGTTTAGGATCCTTAAGGTAATGCAGGATTTATACCATCAACCGTAGGTCTTCGGCTTTATTGGTATGCATATCCCGTTGCAGTCTCGATATTGACAAACTGCAAAGGTCCGGTAGAATTATGAAGATCTAGATTGTGAAACCCGCAAGACCCCATGAATAAGCAGTTCTCGAACCCGCTTAAGAAGTGTATAAACCATCAAACAACTCCAGACCTAGAGGCTCATACCCTACCCCTTTTTTAGGGCGCCTACTTTTCAAGTTAACAGATCCTAACCATAAAGCCAGGTATCTTAAAAAGGGGTAGGGTATGAGCCTCTAGGTACAAGTCATTCCAGAACCTAAAAGCCAGGCACGAGCTCCGCAAGACCCTGGAAGCAAACTTATGAATTTCACAAAAGCTATAAACGCCATCAAGAACACAAGGTTGAAACCCGCCCTATAAACGAACCGAAGAACCCGATAAAACAAATTTCCCTACGTCTGCACAGAAACTGCAATCCCCAAACCCCAAACCCTAAGCCATGAAGCCCCAAACTCGAAGCCCTAGACCCGAAACTGTGCACCCTACCTAGACCCCCAACTACCTGCCATTGTAGCGCTCGTGTACCTCTGAATGAGAGATATCAGAGCCCTTTAAAGAGAACTTCTGGGTCTTGGCAAAAGGCATGACCGCACCGGTAAAACCCTAAACGCTTTTATTGCCAAAGCAAGTCAGGCCCTCAAGCTCTTGAGCGACCTCCTGCTCGGTCGAAAGTTCATGAGGCCCTATTTTGGGGCTCAGGTTTAACGGTTTTGATTTTGGGGTCTATAGGGTTTAATATAGGGTTGAGGGGCCTGGATAAACAAGGTTTTGGGTTGGGGGTAGACTAGGGTTCCTTTAGAGCGTTTCTTGAAGAATGTTCTGTAAGCGGGGAGTGCTTTCTGGCTTGGAAGCTGGGACTTGTTGCTCAAGCTTGTGCAAGCGGAGGAAACTCAGAGTTTTGAACCTGTGACCGCTGTTGTTCGTCTCTTCACGAGGGTTCCTAGGTACTGTTCTGGAGGATACGTCTCCACATGAGAACAGTATTTCCTAATTTCGAAAACCTACATGCTACTACAATCTACGACAGAAAAAGATACGTCGAAAGCATGTACTGCAGGATACAGAAGAATTCCACACCCTCACTCCGACTGCCGATATCCTGCTCCTGAAAGCCGATAAACTGTTGCAGAGCCGTTCTCTGTGCCTTCAACTCCGCAGAATTCATGGACTTTTCGTCACCTTGATAACCTGTAGGCTACGCAGAAATTCAAACGAGTCTAAGACCTATCAATCCAAAGCTTTTCGCCTCCAGCAAGCTCACCCGTCCGGATCGCCATCATGTCAGGACCTGTTTTTTGGGTCACCGATTTTACTATCATAGTCCTTTGAACAGCCTACTACATCCAGGCAGATTTAGATCCTTCCCATTCCTGTAGGATAATGATGCTCTACATCGGGGACGACTCCTACCTGCAAATTCATATGAACCTGCTGCGGGACGACTCCAAGACCATTCAGCTGGAGGCCGGCCCTTTGGCGAGCTTCGATACACATCCCCAGAGAGCCCGGCTTCATATTATGATTTAAGCTATATTCCTTAATCAAGGCGTATTGGGCTCTCTGGGTCCAAGAATTCCGACCTAACCCGGAGCCCTGAATCAGTGTAAGCTCTAAACCCCCAAACCCCAAAGCCCTGAGCCCCTTAAGCCCTAAACCCTGAACCTTAAACCCTAAACCCTAAAAGCCGTAAACTCTAAACCGCCTTGGCGACTTGAAATGAGTCCTACGCCAAGGCAGCACAAATAACCAAATCCAACCATATCTGGGCACCTAGATAAGATACACTTTAACCCTAGAGTGCGTGGACCTTATGAAGCCCGATACGACGCCACATAAAGCGCGTATAGGAAGCTCTATGACTACCGTGCACGGAGGCGAGGAAGTCACCCGATTGCCTCACAAATATTGTTCCTTGCAGTTCCCCGATGTAGCTATACTTGAGAGGTTTAGGGTTCACGGTTTAGGGCATCAATCTACACCAACACAGTTCCAAGAACTGTTACCTACATTGCCTGGATTGTTACGTGGCAGAAGAAATTCGTGCTGCCCAATGTGCTTAGGCTCCACTGAGACCTCGGTTTCGAGCGTTGCTTCTCTGTTGTGATTTCCCTTCAGATATAGAGGTCGTAAAAATTAAGTTGTTGCAATAATATCGTATGATGTACCCCGAGACTCTGTTGAGACTATTGAGGGCCTTGTAGTTTCTGGACAGTGCCATGCCGGGAGTCGTCCAACCAAATTGGGGCTTCAGCTCAGACTGCTTAAACCGAGCCTACCACTGACAGAGTCCCAAATCTTGTGTTCTTCAAGCATACACACGGCTACATCCTCGATGTCTTTCTGAAGGCCGTGTTCAAGCAGAGATCCCGACCTCAAATCCTAGTCGTATCGACGCAAACCGGAGGGCCCCACACCTATACCCTGACCCCCAAAGCCCTAGACACTATTGGTCCCTAGCGCTTAAACCGATTTTAATTGCCGGAATCGATCCGTTCAAAGCCATGTGAAGTCGAACAAAATCCAGTAGAGTCCCCAAAACACCCTTTCAAGTCAAGCAGCGAAAGCCTAAACCCGAACGCCTAGACTTTAGATTCAAATCCCAAGCCCGAAACCTCTCAACCCTAAACCCTACACCCCTAAACCCTAAACCCCTAAACCCTGAACACCCTACACCGGCAAGCCCTCAGGCCTTCCACATCTTCAAGATCTTCGTGGCAAATCCGAACAGACCGCCGAGAGTGCACACAATTCTATACAAAAACAAGGCGGAGATGGTTTCCCTAAGGGTCCATGGAGTGGTTTGCGGTTTCTTCACCTCTCCACGGGGTATGTACATACATACACACATAGATACATACATTCATTCATCCGCTCACTCGTTCGTTCTTTCAGTCATTCATTCGCTCATTCATTGATTCACTCAGTCATTGATTCGGTCGTTTATTCATACGTTCATTCATTCATTCACTCACCCACTCAATCACTCCCTCCCTCCCTCACTCATGCACTCACTCACTCGCGCATCCACACACTGATTCATTCACTCACTCGCTCATTCATGCACACTTCTTCACTTACTCAATCGTTCATCCATTCATTCATTCATTCACGCACGTCTGTATATGTATCTAAATACAGACAGACAGAAAGATCGATAGACAGATCGAGACAAAGAAACATTCTTAGGGCCCAGAGCTTCGGTGTCTAAAGTTCCTTGACTGACTTTGGCATCCTCCGGGCAGTTTCGAAGACAAGACAAACCCACCTGAATGTCTCTAGTATGCCTTCTGGTATGGGCGCACCCTAAACCCTAAACCCTAAACCACCATTAGTGCTCTAGGACCCAGAGTAGGCCCTTATTCCCTTTTTAAGGCTTTAGGTTCCCTTATAACCCCCATTAAACCAAAAAGGGTACCCTTTTTCTTCGTAGGCTACTCTTAGATCAAGTGCTGCTTCGTGTCCGGCGCCGCATCGGCTGTCTGCCCAAGAACCTGTATTCGGGCAGCCGTCAGACAGAGATCACTCCTTCGGTTTGCCATAAGTTTAGGGTTTAGGGTTTAGGGTTAAAGCCTGCATACCCATAATAAGGTATACCATAGTTCCTTTAGTTTAGGGTCCTTAAGGTACTGCAGGGTTTATATCACCAACCGTAGAACCCTGCACGCAACCGTCTAATACCCCTTTGAAGATCTATATAAAACCCTTGAATTCAATTCCTGGGAATGCCAAAAACGCCGTGGAAAGTATAAAGAACTAATGCTTTTCCTCTGCCGGTTCAAACCCCAAACCCGAAACAGTAAACTCTAAACTTTGGACCTGCGCCAAACGCCTTTGTGCTATAAGCATAATAAGGAACCCCCCCAAGAATAGTATAGGTACTTATTAAATTAAGGACCCTATAGTAAACCCTGACCTCCAAACCCCAAGCCCTTAAACCCGAGACCTGTGCAGGAGCGGCTCATCTGTTTGCTGCACGAGTTAACCCCGCACCGGCCCGAAGACAAGCAGTTTTTGGAGGACTTTGCTTAGTTTTTCTTTGTGGTTTTGGTGTTTAGGGTTTGGGGGTTTAGGGTTCTTTTTCCACGGGGGTTAGAGTGCTTTAGTCCTAAGGGTTCCCATAAGGGCTCTAAAGGGCTATGACAATGAAGAGTTCCAAGCGGTGTTATATACTGCTGTGATTATGGAGCGCCGCAGTGTTTGATTGGGTTTCGCAAAGGTTCCCAACAAAGGGCTCTGCAAAGGTATTTCCGCATCTCGCAGATTAGGTTGTTGATTGGGGATTGCAGGCTTCAATTTGTTGAAATGATAGGTCTTCTAGCGATTGTAGGGTTTAGAGCTTTAAGGACTTTAAGGATGTAGGGTTTGGGTTTTCAGCGTCTGAGGATTAGGCCTGCGGCGAGCCCACGGTTCGGCACTAATTCGGGTTCTCGATGATGGTTCACCTCAAGTGCCATAGGGGCTTCAGTGTGTCTTCATATTGAAGGGGAGATGATCGAATCGAGCTTTCCATGAATTTACCTGGCTGCATTGAAGTGCATCTCAAGCCGGAACATAATTCCGAACACTCATGCTGCAACTCCATCGGCCCTTAACCCTGTCCCTAAGGGTCCATGTACCCAAATAGTATATACTTTGGCCTTAAAGTAGTCCCTATGTAGGTACTGTGGGGCCAAAGTATATACGGTTTGGGTACATGGACCCTTAGTGTGTGGACAAGATCGCAGAAGTTTCTGAAATTGGAGGAGCCGGCATGTGGTTTCGTTTCAGGATGTACCTGCAGCGGATTGTGCCTTACCTGGAGTGCACGTGGAAGGGAGGGGCGCGCTGGCTGACTGCTGCCTTTGGGGAGCACCGAACAGGCTCGCGAACAGGACATCAAGTTTTGCTGAAAACGAACCCTAAACCGTAAACCCTAAACCTAAACCCTAATCCCGAAGTTGCACAAGTGCAAAGCCTGCGGCCTTGGTGGTCTGGCGACCACAAAATGCTCGCTGCCTCACTCCACGCGTTACAGGAAACTGGTGAGGATGCACTGAGTATGTTTGCCTCTGCGGTTTCCCCAAGACCTCACCAATTATGTAGCTTTCGGGCCCTAGATAGAAGGAGCCTCACTATAAGGAACCCGAGTCAAGCACCCTCACAACGAACTGTAAGCCCCGCAGAGTACGTACTGAGGATTGAGGTATCTGGGGTTTCTTCAACCCTCGGGACGGTTCAACATGCTGTTTAGGGTTCAGGGGTCGGGGCTGACAGTTTTAGGGTTTAGGGTTTAGGGTACGGAATTTGGGGCGTTGAGTTTGTGGTTCAGCACCCTCGATCTGATCAACACACCGCATTTAGGGCTTATTGGACCCGACATCTTCTGCGAGTTTATTACTGCGAGTATAAGTTAAAAAGCTGATGCGCAGTGCAGGACATGAAGACTGTCCTAAACAAGTTGGAGGCCGCGCTGCTTTTTAGGGTTTAGGGTGTAGGGTTTAGGGTCTGGTGCGGATCCAATCTCCATGGTTTGGTTGGCAAGTCTGTCTGCATTAATCTTAAAGTGCCTCGAGTTGCTGTAAACCCTCATTTTGAAAGCACAACTACTTCACAGGCACTTAACATAGAAGCCAAAATAATTACCAAAATGAATTTAGGGTTCCTTACTAATTCTGATTATATCATACATATTATACCCCATAACCACAAACCTTTTTATTAAGGCCTCTATATTAAGCCCAGAGACGAAACGGGGTTGTCCTCTGTGCTGCAAGATAAAATGCCATTGATGCAGCTGGCCCACCCTATCCGCCTAAGGCTGCGGTTGAGGGGCCGTCCATGGTACGATGTACTATGGCATGTAGGCAAGAAGCCCCTCGATGTTTGTCGACTGCACCAAGCCTTACCTTGACCCAAATAGCCTACCTTTTTAAGGACTCATATACGCAAATCATAATAAGGAACCCTAAAAATGTAGGTTCGTTAGGGTCCAGGTAATCCTAAACTTCAACCCTCAACACTCCAAGCCGCACACACACACACACACACACACACACACACACACACACACACACACACACACACACACACACACACACACACACACACACACACACACACACGCCCATCAGAAGTTCTATGCATGCACGCGTATACAGGAAAAGCCAGAAAGTTGGAGTATCATTTTCGTAACTCCTTTAAGGTAAATTATAGGGGATCCTACCATTAATCCATATTCCAACTTTCTGGAGTTCCCTTTAGGCCCAACGAAAAATCCTGAAGCCTTCCACTCTACACGATATGGGTGGTTGTCAAAATTAGGGTCCCTTTTTGGGCACCCTAAATATTAGGTATAATAAGGACCCCAAAAGGGACCATAATTTTGACAACCACTCATATATACCCAAAACCTTGAACTTGAGACTCCCGACCTTGCGAACCAAGAAGACCGACAATTGAGTTATATACTTTTTTACTGCCTGTGCACATGTATGTATACATGTACGTTGCACACATCTCTGTATGTATATATATATATATATATGTATATTCATGTTTCTTTGTAAGTACCGTTTTGTTGTGCATAAACAAAAAACCCAGGCTTCAGAAAGGGACGCTGTGGAAACCCTTCGGTTTGAAGGTATCCAAGCCCATAACCAGAACCTATCGGTTTACACGTTTCCATGGCGTCCCATACAAGCATAGGTTCAGAAGGGACCTATTTGCCAGTTGCCCAGCGGGCCAGGTTAGGGATGCATTTGGGATCGTTGTTAATGTTTTTTCAAGCAAACACTTGAAAGGTTGCAAACTTGGAAGAATCCAAGTAGGAAGATGTGTTTTGATCCAGTCGTGGGGTGCTGGACTTGTGGGTGCACATCTTCCAAATGTGCGGCTGCTACTGTAGGATTTGAGCAGTTTCCTTTTTTTTATTACTTTTAATACTATTACTGGTTGTTGTTGTTGGTGGTGGTGATGTTACTATTGTTGTTATCGTTAGGTTATTTCATATGACTCGTATAGTTACTTTGCTATATAACATGGAATGTATTTCTGTGTTTTGATACATACATGTAGAAAGAGTTACAGGTATCGAATATATATATATATATATATATCTCTCTCTCTCTCTCTCTCTCTCTGTGTGTATGTATGTATACCGTGTAGCAATCAGTTGCAAGCTAGTCCTGGAATACGCAGGCTATGGAGCCTCCTCCCCGGCCCGAGCGTACGGCGGCCGCTGGATATCCTGGCAGCCATGAGCTGAAATTCTCTAGTCTTCCTGAGTTGGGGAATTTACGGCTTGGGGTTTAGGGCATGGGGTTGGCCTTTAGGGTTCCGGGGTCTAGGGTGGTCCTGAAGATTCAGACTTGAGTGTATCGGTTTTTTCCCATTCGGAGCTTATAGGAGTTTTGATCTCTGAGTGGATGGTTCTCGAAAGTGAAGTTATAGTAAAAGCCCAAAAGTTGGAAGCCCAATAGCCTCAGTCCTTAAGAGTACTGCATAGGGAATCCCAGCACTATTTGGCCTTAATCCGGTTTCCAACTTTATGGGGCTTACTATAAACCCTAAACCCTAAACCCTAATAGGGTTTTTAAGGGTTCGGGTCGTGGAATTGCAGTTACAGGGTTGCTGGGTGGATATTTCTAGGACTGAAGGATTTTCCCGGGCCCTAAACCCTCAACCCTAAACCCTAAACCAGAAACTCGAAGTGTAGGGCTTCGGGTTTTGCTTTGGCAACATAGTTAAGTACTTAGGGGGTAGTCGTGAGGATGCAAGATTTTGGTTACAGGGTCGGAGGCCTTTTGGGTTGGCTGTGCGTCGGAGGGGTGTGTGGGTGCTGTAGCCATGCTCTGTGATCGTTTCATTTCTCGGAGTGAACTGAGCGCAGGCTGTTAGGCTGGCGACGCCGGTTTGCTTCAGGACTCTGGTTCAGTCCAAACTTCATGGTGGACGTGGAGCAGCCGTAGATGTCTCGCGAGCATACAAGCTCTTGGTGGGAACTGGTGCGTAAAGTCTTAAGACGCATTTCGCGCACTGGCCCTTAAGTCGTAGACCACATCTTGAGCCCGAAGCTGGAAACGTTAGCCGGCCAACCTTCCTTATCCCCAAAGCACAAAGATGTCTAAGCCCTGAACTTTTCAACCCTGGACCATTTTCAATGTGGAACATCGCCTGAGGTGCCCCGGGTGCACCAGCTGCAGAGGCTTCGCCCATGTCGAGCTGATTCTAGGATTCAGGCATTTTAGGGTTCGGTTTAGGGAGCTGAATTTGAGGGTTGAGAGATGTACGGATTTTGGGATTTACGGAAGTTAGGGTCGTGCCGAGGTGACTTCATTAGGAGGCTTTAGTATTTCAGGAACCATGGATTCAGGATTTGGGAAGTTTCAGCTTTTTGGGGGTTATACGGTCCTGCCGCGCTAGTGTTGTCAGGCGGCGATTCTGTTCGGTCTCAGTGATGTTAGAGTCGTGCTGAACTGCTCGTATCAGCATTTAGGGCCTTTCTGATTCGGGTGGTTGATTGAAACACCTGTTCCCGCCTTTAGCTTGAATTGGGAAGGACTTACCTACTTTAAGACTCCAGCTGGCACAAAGTAGGTACCCTCTACACACTTTAGAGGCCAAAGTAGGTAGTATGTGTATACTTGGAGTCTCAGGGCTACAAGAATCCTAAACTCTAAAGCATCGTTGCGGGTCGGGCGGTTGGCTTTGCAGTTGTCGCATGTGAAGATTAGGACGATGGGCTTGGGGACGTGAGCGGCACAACGTCTTGTCGCGGCTTTGAGACGCCATGATCATCACGCGCAAGACCGAATGAGGACAATGATGCTGATGAGCGGGACGATACCTGTACCGGACGAATATACCTGCTTACCTTGGTGTGCAGTACCCCTCGCAGACGTCAGGGACGGCGAGGCAAGCTGCCTGCCGCCTGAGTCGGAGCCGATCTCGGAGTGGCCCAGCGCGGAGGACAGAGACTGCCTCTGAGAGGGCAATCACACAGTGGATGTCCCATGCACAGAAGGAGTGCCCCAAGCCCTCATCCCGAATGTCTCTAGAAACCCTAAACCCTAAACCCTAAACCCAAAACTCTAAACCGTATTATATTAGAAGCCCGCTATGGGTGTACAGGACCTTCTGGTGTATCTTCGGGCTTAGTCTAAGGCAGGTTCTAAGGCTCCTGTGGTACCCCAGGTGAGGTCCTAAGTCCTTCGCCCGTCCTGGAATCTATCCCTACCCAAAGGCCCCAAAGTAGTTCCTTTTTGGGGTTCAGATATAAAGTCCTGTAAGGTAATCCCAAAAAGGAACTACTATGGGGCCTCTGGGTAAACTCTATGCACCAACACCCCAGGCAACAAAGCCTAAGAAACCCTGCCCCAAAAGGCAGCTTGTCCTGAACTCAGTAGACAAACCCTTAACTAAGTCTAAACACAAGACCGTAGAACCCTAACCCCTAAATCTCAAATCCTAAACAACTCTTTCTTATACCAGCGCCCCCTAAGTCGCTGAGACGTGCCTGCGCCCAGGCCAACCACCCTCCGGGTGACAGAGGCAGAGCGATGGTTCAGGGCGCCGGCTTAAGATCTCCAACATTTAAGCCTCGATCTTCAAAGCATATCATCTTTTAAAGAGCCGTTAGGCCAGTAGTGAAGGTCGTGCTGGTGGAGTTGTCGTCACAGTCGTGGTAGTAGTTATGGCAGAATACTTAAGATGTAGTCGACACCAGAAACAAAGCCTGAAATCCTCCGACCCTACGCCTAAAAGCGACAACCTCTAAGGGGCTTTGGGATTAGGGTTCAAGTATGGTCGGGCCTTCCCAACAAAGTTAGAAAGTGCTTCTCCACTAAAGAAACGGGACGAAGACATGAAGCTGGATTGCAGAGTTTCAATCCAGATACATGATTGCAACACCCCGGTGAACCAGACGCGTTTCATGAAGCAATGCATGCAGCATCTGGAAAAGCCGTAGCATACCGGTGTCGCCGCAGGTGCTGGCGGCACCTTGATTACACGACATTTACACGACCGCGACAACCACGACGAGCACAACGACGACTGCAACAGCAGCAGTAGCGACACAAACAACAACAACAGCAACAGCAGGAGCAGCGGCTGTAGCATCAGCAACAGCAGAAGCAGCAGCAACAGCAGAAGCAACAGCAGCAGCAGCAGCAGCAGCAGCAGCAGCAGCAGCAGCAGCAGCAGCAGCAGCAGCAGCAGCAACAGAGCGGAAGCAGTAGCGACAGCGACAGAGTCTGTAACTGCAACAACAACCGCAGCAACAACAGCAACAGCAACATCAAGAGCAAAATCAACAGCAGCAACAACATCAACAAAACAACAACCACCCCCGCTTCTACCACGACTACGCCTACCTAAGTAACACACTCTCAAGTCATTGTTGCAAGATGTACGGGTGGATTTGGCATCTACATACGCCATTTTCCACAGACCCGAACTGCACTTTAGCTTCTAAGCCCTGGCTTGGGTGCTCCCGTAGCGGCCACAGCGAGTCAGTGAGGTGATCCCGTCGGTTGAACATCGATGTGCCGTGAGTGCTTCCCAATGTTTGAGGGAAGCTGGCATCGCGCCAGTCCAGCTGCACAGGGGCCCTTAGCTTAAAGTTGGATCTTTTAGTCGCGTCATCCTCACTGTCACTGTTGCCCTAGCAGCCCACATTGGACATGCCTTGGCATGCCCTTCATAAGTAAGAACCGTAACCATAGTACAGACCATGTTTCATAGTTCATGGTTCGGGTTGCAGTCGTTGCTCGTTTGGGAGTTTCCGAAAATGGGGGGACCCCAATATTGTACCCCAAATAGTAGGATCCATATTTAAGGATCCCAAAATAAGGTACCCCTAATTTTTCGAAAACTCCCACATGGGGGGATCGAATTCTGGCACGCGATCATTCGGCATAGCTTCATTCCTGTCATGTCCAGAGCCCTAAACACAGAGCGGTGTCCATTATAGCGCTTGCAGTTACCCAAAGGCCCCAAATGGGGCCCCAAAGTAGTTCCTTTTTGGGGTTCATATATAGAATCTTATAATAAGGTAATCCCAAAAAGAACACTATGGGGCCTTTGGGTAGGGGCATGGCCAGCAGGCTTCTTGGGCAACGAACACTTCACACCGCAACTTTCGTGGGTCGAACTCAAACACATGGGTAGTTGCTAAAATAGGGGTCCCTTTTTCGGTACTTAGGTGCCGTATTTTAATGGGGACCCAAAAAGGGACCCCATTTTTTGACAACCACCCACATGACTCACACGTACAGACCAAGAAAGCAGATTCTAATTCCTAAGCCCTACCATCCAAGACCTATATGGACCTCAGAAACCCAAACGGTCAAAGCCCTAAACGCTCTGGTAGGTTGAAATCAATAACAAGAAACCCAGGTTTGTTTCTGGGTACCTTATTTTGGGGTCCTTATAACAAGGATCCTACTATTTAGGGTACTATATTCGGGTCCCCATTTTGGGGGGAACTCCCTAAACCCTAAACCCTGTAGCAGAGCAGTCAAGCCCATACTGATGTCATCTGTCCCACGGGACCCTGTTCTTGCTACTGCATGAGCGTTTTTGCTTGCATGCCGTTTGCTAATTCGGCAGAAGCTCGCCGACAGAAAGGAGCAGAGGATTCACGTCCTTTGATGTACCCGTCACAGCCCAAAGTTAAAATCTAAACCCTAAGCCTAAACCCTGGCGCCTGAACCCTAAACCCCAACAGGTTTATGCTATTGAAGGTGCCTGAAACTCAGAACTTCCCATGGTGCAGTCAGCCCCCAAGCCCTAAGCCTGAAGTGTAGAGCCGGTACAGTAGGGCTCAGGATTTGGAGCTCAGAGTCCGCCTCTAACTGAAAGCCTTAAGCCCAGAAGCCTTCAGCGAGGGCAATGCCTTCAGGTGCAGAAGAATCCTCGCTCGGTACTGCCTCACCGGGTCTCACCCCCTTTGGGTCCAACTTGCTTTGGGGGATTCGGAGCTTAAGGTTTACGATTTAGGGTTTAGGGTTTAGGGTTTAGGGGTTTAGGGTTTAGGGTTTAGGGTTTAGGGTTTAGGGGTTTAGGGTTTAGGGTTTAGGGTGATTTAGGGTAATGAAGAAACCTGACTAAGAAACCCTGGCCCAAGATACTAGGGCTCATATTAACAGAGCCCGAATCAAGATCCATGTCTTTTTGATCAGGTTCCTACACAAAAACCCTAACCCTAAACCCTAAACCCTAAATCCTAAACCCTAAACCCTACAAGCCCTAAAGCTAATGGGAGCTTAACGGTTCGGGTCCATAAGACTGAAAGCTGAGGGTGCGCGCGCGTGACCAGACTTCGCTCATAGGCTCAGAAGCCCTCAAGCTTAGGTAGGGTTTAGGGTTTAGGGTTCAGGGTTTAGGGTTTAGGGTTTAGGGTTCAGGGTTTAGGGTTTAGGGTTCAGGGTTTAGGGTTTAGGGGTCAGGCTTTAGGGCTCAAGTTTCTAAGATGCGAACGGATAGGATTTGGGCCCAATGTACCTACATAGAGAGTACTTTAACGTCAAAAGTATATACTATTCTTACCTTTGGTTAGTAGGGAATGGAAGAATGGTAGTAATTGTAGTGATAGTTGTACCCCACTAACCAAAGGTAAGAGGTTCGAACGAATAGGATCCATGGTTTGGGGTTTATGGGTTTAGGTCTTAGGGTCTAGTAGGTCGGGAGGGTTCCGGGCAGACTTGGACCCACAGGGATCGTTTTTGCACGCGATGTCCTAGGTTACCTCCAGTGATTCTGTGAGGGTATCTCGAAGATCCCAAGGGACAAAGCCCCGGACGAAGACACTCAAAGGCCCGGAACAGCCAGTTGACAGCCAATCTAGAAGCCTAAATGATGAGAACATGCCATTCCTTAGGGCGCGTTCGTACCCAGAGGCCCCGAAGTAGTTCCTTTCGGGGATTCATATATAGAATCCCATAAGGTAATCCCCAAAAGGAGCTACTATGGGGCCGCTGGGTATTGCTTTCGTTAGACGATGATAAAGTTCAGACATTACTCTGAATGTGATTGTTGAGGTTGATGAAGCCTTCGGCTGTTGCGCTTTCGGGAAATCGTAGAAGTTCTTCTTTTGCCTGCAATGCAGTGTTTTACAGTTTCACGACTCCCTAAACGCCTAGAATGCCCTAAGCCCTAAACCCTGTAAAGCCTCAGAGAGAATGCAAACAAGCGATGAACCATGGAGTAGATCCTAGAATCCTAGAAATACAGCTCAGCTATGGTGTGGGTCCCCAAAAAGGATACAAACAACCGGGTTCTGACTTATAGCTTTCATAGTTTGTGATTAAGATAGAGTCTCATAAGGAGGGCTTTCCATAGAGGAGCACGTCAAGGTTCACGGGTTACTTAGTGTCCAGGGTTAAGGGTTTAGGGATAAGAGTTTAGCACGGGTTCAGGATGGTGGATCTATAGGGTATCAGGGGTTCATGAAAGCAGGGATGCATGATCTAGGAGACCTTATAGTCGAGTCAGGCGCGTCTTGGCAGTCTATGTTTGAGTAGGTTTTGAAGCGCTACGAAGCCGAAGGAAGTTGAGGGTTGAACGTCTAGAGCTCTTATTATCACTATGGGTGCAGGCAACCCAGAGGCCGAAACACCCCCCAAAAATCTCAGTTCGTACCCACCCTCTAAGGAATCAGGTGAGGGAAGAGCAGCAGCAGGTGGAAAAAAAATGCTTGTGCCTGCCTTTTGGAGTTTCCACACGACGAGCCTGAGGGTATACAGCCGGGATACTAGGGTCTTTGTAGTTGGTTTTTAGCATCGAAGCTCACAAGATAGGAAGCCTGGCAGCCTTTGGGTTATTCTAAGGCGCCAAGCTTTACATAAAATCCTAACTTGCAACCCCTCTCAGTTCGTTTCGGCAGATTTTCTGAAGGGGAAGGTGCTAAAGGACCCCGAAGTACCTTTGACAGAGATACCATGTTTCTCGCAATTCGGGGTTTCAATCGGCTGGAGGGTAGTTGGGGGTGCTAGGTCTGGGTGGGGTCTAGACATACCTCCACCCCAAATAACCCGCTTTCCCGAGGACTTATACAAAGAAGTACCGTCAAGAGCCTGAATTACAAGGAGGGCTATAAAAAAAAACCATGTAGGAACCAAAAAAGCAGGTGTGGTGGGTTTCGGGTTTGAAGTTTTGGGGTTTGGGCTTATGTCGTTTTTGCCTTTGGGGCCTAGGCCTTGCCCTAGAAATCCATCGTTTTAGGGATCCTTCCCATGATTTCTTTACCTTCAAGCAGGTAGGTTGTTTTGGGTTTCGGCAGGCTGCCCTGTAAAACCCTTCTTTTCTAGGGTTCCTTCTTATGATTTGCTTAGGTAATCCTTTGAATTCATTAATGCAATTTCGCGATATTCGAGTCCTTCAACAGGTAGGTTGTTTTGGATTCCTTATTGTGTTTGCCTCATACTTGGGTTCCTTATTGTCACTTTGTATAGGTCAAAAAAGGGTAGGCTTTTGGGGGGGTGTTCCTTATTGTGATTTCCGTAGAAAGGTACTGAGAAATTTGCGTGGGTTCTTTGGGGCCATACACAATCTACCTCCAAACGATAACCTCGACTCGAGTCCTCGAACGTATCAGACCCCGAGAGCAAGAGATATGTAGGCACACATACACACACATGTGTATATATATATATATACACATATGTGTATGCATGTATGTATGTATGTATGTATGTATGTACGTATGTTGTATGTATGTGTGTATGTATGTATGCATGTATGTATGTATGTATGTATGCATGTATGTATGCATGTGTGTATGTATGTATGATGTATGTATGTATGTATGTTATGTATATTATGTTTGTTTGTTTTGTATGTATGCATGCATGCATGCATGCATGCATGCATGTATGTGTGTATGTATGTATGTATGTATGTATGTATGTATGCACGCATAGACTTTCTGTTTATATTCATGCTTGCATGTATACATTCATTGACATGTTGGGTTACGTTGATACTTATACTGCTGTTGTTATTTACATATATGCGAAATGGAGTTGAGGGTACAGGGTTATAGCGCAGGCCGGAATTTCGACAAGAAACAGCAAGCATGAAAGGCCTCGATTTGTTGACCATCTCTGTGAGATCGTTCGAAACCTTGAACCTGAAGCTCACAAAAGTGGGTAAGATCATGGTCCAACACCTTTAACAGGCCACTGTTCTACATAACTTTATAGGGTCCAGGTAGCCATAACCCCCCCCAAGCCTTACATCATACATGCTGGGACCCGAGGCCTCAAAACCCTAAGCGGCATCAAAACCCCGGAGCGTCCTTGGACTGCCTACGGCGTGTAGATTTTAAGGTTTTTGAGGGTGTTCTGGTTTGAGATAAACCCTAAACCCTAAACCCCTAAACCCTAAACCCTTAAAGTTGTAGGCCATAAGATTCATTAAGAATTTGGGGGGGTCTGAGGGTGCAGGATTTAGGCTTGGGTTCGAGATCCAGATTGAACTCGTGGCCGTCCTGGCTCAACGGCAGGGAACGCGTAGACAGTGTAACCGGATCCCAT